TCTTGACAGAATAGGCTTATGTAGAAGGCGTCCTGTGGGGTCTATAGTGCAGTCTTTCTGGTCACTTGAGCCAAGTGCTCCCAGGATATCCCCTATGTGGATGGTGTGTGCCCTCCTGTTGTAGTTGAACCTCAATTTCTGTTGGCAAATCTGTTTGTAGGGCTGACTCTCAGGCTGACTGGCTATGAGGCCTACAGTGGATGAGCTGTTGTGCAGGGGCTGACCCCATGGAGTGGGAGTTAATTTATTAGAGCTCTGGTGCCAGCCAAGTCTGCCCTTCATGTGTGTTGCTTGTGGAGTCGGTTAGATGGTGCTCTGGTGTGGTCTGAAGCTGGCCACTGGGTGTATTGGTTCTGGAGCCTCTTGGGAGGGGCTCTGGTACAGGTCAAGGTCAGCTTCTACTTGTGCCTGGCTTGGGGACTCTTCGTAGGAGCTCCAAGGTGATCTGTGTTTGACTGCAGCTTGTGATGGGCTTGGAAGCACTTGAGACTATGCTGTGCCAAGGCTAGCCACCTCTTGTACTAGGCTTGGGACATTTTTGTGGGTACCATGATGTGAGGTGAGGTCAGCCACCACTTGTGCTGGGTTCATGGTTGCTTATTTGTAAAGCTGGTTTAGTTGTGGTGAACTTTAGTTTTTGCTTGTCTGAGAAACTCTTTCTCTCTCCTTCAATTCTGAATAACCTTGCTGGGTATAGCATTCTAGGTTGTAGGTTACTTTCTTTCAGCACTTTAAATATTTACTGCCACTCCCTTCTGGCCTGTAAATTTGATGATGAGAAATCAGCTGATAGCCTTATGGGGTTTCTCTTTTATATGGCTCATTTCTTTCTTGCTGCCTTCAAGATTCTGTCTTTATCCTTAACTTTTGCCATTTTAATTACAGTGTGTTGGTGTGGGCTTCTATGGGTTCATCTTGTTTGGAACTCTCTATGCTTTCTGGATCCAGATGTTTGTTTCCTTTCCCAGATTAGGACAGTTTTCACCATTATTTCTTCCTCTTTCTCTCTTTCGAAATTCCTATAATGAAAATGTTAGCATGCTTGATGTTCTGAGGTCTCTTACGCTATTCTCAATTTTTAAATATTTTTTCATTTTGCTATTCTGATTGAATGACTAACACATTTTATCTTCCAGGTTGCTAATCTATTCTGTACTAGCTAATCTGTTGATTCCTTCTAATGTCTTTTTCATTTCAGTTGTATTCTTTAACTCTGATTGGTTCTTTATTGTATTTTCTAAACCTTTGTTGATGTTCTGAGGTCCTCTAATTCTACTCTCAGGTTTGTTGAGCATCCTTATTACCATTTCTTTGAATTCTTTGTCAAGCAAATTATCCCTCCCACTTTTTTATTCCTTTATTTGGGGCATATCCTTCTGTCTCCCCATTTTGTTTGACTTTCTGTGTTCCTATGAGTTAGATGAAGTAGCTATCTCTCCCAATCTTGAAAAAGTATCCTTTGTATAGATTGTGTGCTGGATGGTTTTGGCAGGCTAATTGTAATCAGGGTGTGTGTGTGTGTGGTGCCTGGTTTGTCTCTTGGTCAGGATTGGATCCGGAGCAGGGCAGCATAGTGTACACACGTGATATCTTCCTATTGTTCTGGCTGTCTGTGGCCAGAAAGTTGAGGTGGATGCCTTTCCTTGACCTTCTGATCCAGGTGGGGCTGCCTGTTGTGCTTGGTGGACCCTGTTGCTTCAATTGTCTATTGCCCAAGCCAGGTGTGGACAGGGTTGTGCACACTTTTCCTTGACCTTCTGATCCAGGTGGGGCTGCCTGTTGTGCTTGGTGGACCCTGTTGCTTCAATTGTCTATTGCCCAAGCCAGATGTGGACAGGGTTGCCCTGTGCGCATTTCACAGCACCATACTAGTTCCACACTTGGGACAGGGCAGCTGTGTGTGTGTGCACTGTACTTTGCTAGTTCTGTACTTTGTCTCGGTGGGGTAGCTGTGCGCTCACACTGCAGTGCCCCATCACTTCTGCACCCTCTCCAGGCAGGTCAGCCTCTTGTGTGCTCACAGCAGCAGCCCCCTAGTTCCTCATTATCTCCAGATGGGGCAGCCTTGTGTGTGCACATCACAGCACTCAGTTCCACACTTTTCTCTGGGCAGGGCAAACCTATGTGCTCATGCAGCACGCCCCCCTATCTCTGCACTTTCTCTGGAGGGGCAGCTCTACTGCAGGTGCTGCAGTGCTTTGCTAGTTCTCCACTTCCTAGGCAGGGGAGCCCCACATACACACATAGCCCAGTGGGTGCACACAGCAGTGCGCTGCCAAACCGGGGGATCAACCTCCAGGTGGAGGGGTCCTGTGCATGCACTATGGCACCTTATTTGTCTTTTTGGACCTAGCTCCAGGAGGGGCAGCTGGGGTTGCATTATAGAGGCCCTGCAGGTCAGCTAGAGCACCTGTATAGGACTCCCACCTACTATCTAAGCGCAGGGGAAACGCAAACAAAGGTGCTCACTGGTTCCTCTGGTTGCGTTCCCTCAGCTCCTGGAGAGCTCTTGTGGTTCCACCTCCTTTGTGTGGTCTCTTTTATTGCGCAGAAGCTGTTCAATTGACCCTCAGTTGTCTCTCAGGATGAATGGCACTAAACACAGATATACGTTCTGTTCTTAGAAGGTGACAAGCTCAGTGTCCTATGCTATCTTGGACCTGCCTCTCGACACTAAAATTTTAATTTCAAGTAGTACATTTTTCATTTCTGGAAGCATTTTTTGGTTAAAGTTAGCTTCCTTCTCATATGTCTATAATAATTTTAAATATGCTTTGTAATCTCTAATAATTCTATTATCTAAAATCTTTGGGGGTTTAGTCTTGTAATTTACTGACTTCTGACTCTTATGGTGAATTGTTTCCTTGTACATTCTGTAATTTTGATTTGTGAACTCAACATTGCTGGGGATTTTTATGTGGGTATCCTGTGTAGCCTGAATTAAGGTGCATCAATCCATAAAGTAATTCTCTTTCTTCTGCCTAGCTCCCCCAAAATACTTTACATTAAATTCAGAAGATTCTGAAACCACACAGGTAGTATAAATTTGAATCCTAAACCAGTGAGAAGGCAGATACACTGTAACAAGTTTGAAGGAATGACTTATTCTCTGCACCTACAATCTAAGCTAAGACAAGCACTAGAGGATGGATTTCCTTTCCTAGTTTATCCTTTTGGGGGGTGAATCTCTTATTTAAGAGTCCTGGCTATGTGTATGGATCTCAATCCAACTCCTCACCTAGCTGGGACCTACTAACTTTACTTCTTGTCGTTGTGTGACCTTTAAAATGCACGCACCTTGGTTACAGAGACCAAGAACTATCTTTACTCTGAGGCAGTCATGGCATCACCCACACATCATGCTCTCTTTCATTTCCTCTGGTTTTGACTTCTGGGGTTTACTCTCACTATACAATCTTTCATATCAGCCACACAGTTCAAAGGGTATTTATCATGTTTTATTCAGCATTCCTTACGGTTAAATAACTATGGCTTTCAGGCTAGGTAATTATTTCCCATAATTGCTAGAAATGGAAGTTTAGAAAGATATTTCACTCTCTTCTGTCATTTTTTAAAATTTGTTTTTACATTAAGTCATCAAAAATGAACATAATATTCCAGCTGTTCTGATTACTTCAGAACTTTATTTGGGCACTATCTATCTGCTAGATATTTTGTTTTTCTCAAATTACATCACACTATTATGGGAACTGTTTTATAAATAAAGAAGCTGAAGCATGTCAGCTCACATGGCAAGGACCAGGACAAGAACCTGTATCATCTGTTGTCAGCTTTGGGATATTTCTCTAACATGTCAAGGAAGAGGCGAGGAACCTAAAGGTCTAAGGGAACATTTAATAAGTACCTACTTATGTTGGCTCTATAATATGATACCTGACAATAGCTATATAAGGCAGGTCTTATTACGTCATTTAAATAGATGGAGGAATTAAAGCTCAGAAAGGTTAAATAACTTCCTAAAGGTCCTTCCTTTGTATCAGAGCAGAATTCACAGAATTGACTACGAAAAAAAAAAAAGAAAGAAACCATTTTCTTCCTTCTACACCAGGGGTCAGTAACCTTATTCTATAAAATGCCAGACAGTAAATATTTAAGGCTTTGCAGGCCATATAGTCTCTGTTGTAACTATTCAACTTTACTGTTGTAGTGTGAAAGCAGCCAGTGAAAAGCATAAACAAATGAGCATGGCTGTGTTCCCATAAAACTTTATTTAAGGACACTGAAATTTGAATTTCATATAATTTTCATGTCATAAAATATTATTTTGATATTTTCAATCATATAAAAATATAGAATGCATTCTTATCTCACAGGCCATACAGAAACAGGCAGGAAACTGGATCTGGCCCAAGGCAAATGGTTTGTCAATCCCTGCTCTATACCATACCGCCTTCTGAGAAGTGAGGCTCTCCATTGTCTTTGTTTTAAACATTTCTTTACTGAATTAGAAAAGACAAGGGAAAAAGAGAATGGAACAGGTTCTTTTTTGGACCCTAAGTGGTTGAGGGTGTTGTTGCTACACAACCCTCTCAAACGGTATGGTAGCAATATGCGGTCATCTAAATGTCTTGTTCCAATATTAAATGTCTTTTTTCATGTCTATTTAAGCCTTTCTTCGAAATTAAACTATAAGCTCATTTAGGAAAGATGACTATCTTATTTTCAAATTTTCTTTAATGTTTAAGAAGTCTATGAACAGTAAGTGCTTAGTAAATATTAAGTGATAAAAATTAGTCAAATACTATCCTATTTCATTTAGATTCTATTAAGTAGTCAAAGGGTACAATATATAAGCAGTTCAATGAAATGAAAAACAACATAGAAGAGGCTACGCTATATGTATGATTAAATAAAATTATCATATCCTTTTCATTTAGTATAAGGGACAATTATGAAAAGTATTTCTTGACTCTTTTTTGTTCTAATAGTTAAGCATATTAGCATATGAATACTAAGTCTGACATTCCTTCCTCCCCTAGAACCACTTTGGTGATCTGGATGGTGGCCACTATACTGCTTTCTGCAAGAACTCAGTGACCCAAACCTGGTTTAGCTTTGATGACACGCGAGTCAGTGAGATTCCAGAAACTTCAGTTCAAACCGCTACAGCATATCTCCTGTTCTATAGCTGCCAACCCTTTTCCATACCTATACAAAAATGCAAGAGCTAGGAAAATGGTATTTCCTGAAAGTTGCAAAACAATCAGAAACTGGTACTCACAGTTTGCTTTGTCATTAAACTCTTGCAACTTACTTACATCACTGACATTTAAAAGTCTTTCTGGCATATTATGCAACCTTATATAAGGTAAGTCTCTAGCAAAGAAGATGGGTCATGGCACACTGAAAAAGGCAGCATGAAAATAGTGCAATACAACAAATTATTTTCCAAAGGTGTTTCATGGAGTTAAACCAAAATGATTTTTGTTCAAGCGGCAATTTGAGTTTAAGCATGTGATCTGAAAATATTTAATTAATCAGATAATTTAGCCAAGGAATTATAAGTATCTTAGACTAATTGAGGAACACGAAAAGCAGTCAACTTCACAATTAAAAACTCATCTTTTCATCTTGTCCCTGGGAGTCTACTCATAGTGACATCTTTTAGAAGCACCTTTAGAATTTTATTTTTATAGCCTATTTTTGACTTCATATATGGCAACTGAATCTCTAAGATAAATGATAAATTCTGAGCTCCTCTATCGCTTTTAATGTATCACTGTAAAGATGTGGTTCATAATGCAAGTTCACCTTGCAATCATGCCCAACTCCTATCCCTTTTTATCTTAATCCTAAGAATTCTATTACTCTTGATAGAATGAGTCTGGGTATTATTATTTCTTCCTTTGACTCCCAACTCTGAGAATCACAAGTGCTATGCAGTTCTGGGTCAACTTGAAGGAAGAGTGGAATCGAGTCCTGAGGCCACCAGGATAAATGAACTAAATTTCAAGTCAATGTAGCAGGACAGAGTGTGTGTATGTGTATAAAATTTATAGTTCTACTATCCTATGTTTGATAATATGAAATTAAAGACAGAACACTTACAGAATTTTAAATTATTTTTCTCATTAAGATTTTAATGTAGGTGTAAATGAAAATTCTCATTTTAAAAAATTAAAGAAATGTTTCCATTTATTTTTTTAGAATAAAGATTTAGTGCACAAACACAGCCCAAAGTCAACAGAAAAATAGCTTTGCCCTGTCATTTCCCTAAGAAAGCACTGCAGTTACTCAGAATAGGCCAAAGGAAAAAAAAAAAGCAATCCTCTGAGTTCTAGGCTTCACAAAAGGACCACATATTATACTATGTACATCGATTTGATGTGCAAGTATGAAATAAATATATACATATACATTCCTATCTGCATTATCATTCTAGAGTATTCAGAGATCAAGCTGGAATTTGGAAATGTGAAAAGGCCATAACAGTGAAAAGGAAAATAAAGGATACAATGGTTTTCGGACCAGTAGAATAATAATGCTTAGCTAGTTAATTATTTTAACTCTGGAGCAACCTTAAAAAGTTTTTTTGAAATAAATGGTACCTGTAAGGAGTGCTTACTGCAATAATTATTAAATGTTATTCCTCAGGTTTTGTTAGTAGCACTACCTGAAATACATGTGATAGTAACAGAGATCCTGCTGTCCTAGAAGTCCTCTAAAAGGCTACCCAGTATCGTTATAAGCATTTCAAGAGTTGTGTTGCTCAGCCTTTAAAAGATAACTAGCTTATAACCTACTTCTCCTTATGTGGCTACATCAGTTGCTCGTGGTCCCAGGGAAGTATAAAAGAGGATATAAGCTGCTGCTGATTTCACAGAAGAAACGGAGATATCAGAAACTTCGTGATCATCAAATTTAAACCACCGCTGTCTTGCTGCATTCTTACAGTAGGCAGTGTAGTGGCCTCCATCCAGACCACCGTAGTGATTCTGTGCCAAACAAAATAGAAAATTGTTTCAAATTGAATTATTTAAAATATGTCAATAATTTCAAAGCTTTATGTTGTTCTTACTTTCCTATGAGGTAAGAAACTACTTGAAACTCTTGTTTTTTTAGTTGCTTTAAAAGAAAAAGTATTTAGTTCAATGAGATACTTACTGAAACAGAAAACAAGTTATATTTCTTCAAACTGTTCTTTGGACCAATAACATACTGCGACAAGTCAAGATTTTCTAATGGGAAGTCCACAGACGTCTGCAATTTTTGCTTCCACCTACCATCATAGGAAAAACTGCAGAACCAAACATACAGCAATTACATAATAGATCAAAGACTTTAGAATAAGCCCTAACTCATTTATTAATAATCTCGATATTTAGCCAGAACGACAACATTCATTTTAATTGCACACTCAGAATTTTAGTAATGGAGGGATCTGATAAAGACATTTGGTTTTATCTCTATTTTACAAATGAAGAAACTGAGGTGCACAAATATTAAATGACTTGCCCAAGGTCAAATAGCTAGAGCAGTAGAGGTAGGACCACCCTGTGGTCCCGTGATCCCTAGGCCAACTACAACTGTTAGATGCATCCTCTATAAAGGTAAAAAGTTCTGAAAACCTACATTTATAATACTAATCACAACAAATGTACAGAAGAAAGACTGAGGAGAGCTGCTCTAGATTTAAGCTTGCACTTTTAGGGCAACTAGAGCTAGAAACTGCAAGCATGTAGACTAGTGACTAAAATAATATTCCATTATCCTGGCATATTCTCCTTTAAACATCAAAATACTAGTATTTTGGTTGGTGTAATGTTATTCAAGAATTATTTTTTAAAAACTAAATTATAAAGCACTTATATTTTTAGATATTCTTCCAAGAATATTAGGCAGCATTAAAAAATTTAACAAAACAAATGTATGATCAAATTTGTGGAATGTTTGTACTTCCATAGTCCTCAAGAAGAAAATGACAAGTAATGTAACAAGGTTTTGTTAGAAAATTTACAAAAGAGGAATTTGAACATGTCAGTGTTGAAATTAATGTAACTGCCTAAGAATATCCAATAAAACAAGATGAAACAAAAATTAAAACAAATGCTTTCTTCGAAACGAAAATTGCAGTTCTCAATAAAAATATGAAACTTCCTTTTAAAAAGTTTTTCAAAACAATGACACACACAGTTATCACTCCACAGATAAGTTACATAAAGACAAAAGAATCAGAGCAAAAGACCTACGACATATCTTACAACTTTCTCATTATAGGCCACATCTTTTTCATTGGCTGGAAAAATCTGGACAAAACTATGTCTGCACTCAAAAATGTCATCCTTAAATCTTTACCTTTAAAATAACACTTAAAAAATTATATATGTCATTTTCAGCAGAGAATTAAATATTTTTTGTTTAGTTTGATAAATTTATCTGCTAATAATGTGTTAGTTATATATTTTCACTTGATATTTTGTAATGATTTAAAATTTTTATATTTGAAATGCAAAATTTAGTTTCATTGATTTTTAAAGATGGAATTATACGAGAGTGGTGCTGTCATTTTGCTCTATTACTGAAAACAACAAGGTGAACTCAAGTCTCATTGTTTCTGCCTTATTTCTATAGAGATACCTTCCTTGATTATGTATCCTTAACAAGCAGTATGACAAAGTGACTTAGAATAAAGGACGTAGAATTCCTTCATCTAAATTGTACTAAACAGGAAGAAAAATTTGTCTCCTTTACCGTTTCAGATGCACTAAAAGCACAGGTGGCAACTTCCAGATTTCTATCTTTTTTAGAGAATCCCTTCGAGCTCTGCAATGACTGCAGTAAAACCTGTTGTTATCTGTAAGTTTTTCTTCTTTGGAAAATAACCTAAGGCAATCCTGGAGGGCAAAAAGAAGTAGTAGATACTCATTAATTCATTTCTTCAACACAGTGTCACTGAGCATCTATTCAGTAAGTTACCAGTCTGGCATGAAGTAAACTAGAACAAAACAGTTCCTGCCCTCACAAAGTTTATCATCTAGTGAGGAATGCAGACAAGAGAGCCTACAGTGACAACAGAGTGTGATGAGTGTTGCCTATGGTAGCAGGGAGAAGTACTGTATATCCTGAGAGTACACAGGAACTGCTGCTACCTGGTGGCTCAGGGAGGTCTCACTGGAAGAAATGACATTCTCTAGGAAGCTAACACTAAAGAGATCAAAAGCTATCTAAATCACATTGCTGTAGTGTGGAAAACAGAATATTTATTTGATATCCCTATGCAGAGCAAATTCTTATAAAAAGCAAACCTAGATAAAAGGCAATGTATAATTCAAATTAGCTTTTAAAATTTCTTCAAAATAGAAACTTAAAAGAAACCTGTTATTCATCAACTCAAAAAAATATTTAGTAGAAAATATCTTTAAAAAAGAAAATTGGGGGGAGTATTTTTAATTTTTCCTAATTGACATAGCCTAATTAAAACAATTTTCCTGTGAGTTTTACCTATAAAATGTTTATAGGGATAAAGAACAGAAACAAATGGCTTGGTAAAGTACATTTCTATATGCATATAAACAGGATTTTTATTCAACGAATTATTTTCTCTCAATCTTAAACTTACCTGTAATGTACATTTACTTGTGGATGCTAGTGGTAGAGACAAGTACATGAAAGCCTCAAATGTCCTAGACTTTTTGTGACATGTGAGGCACTGAACTGTGGATTTGAACTGACCCTGAAAAAGTGCAACAATAATAGATTCATTGAGCTGCTTGTGTTTCTGCCAAGCGTGTTCTGCTGCTTTAAAGTCATCAAGATGATCATTATTTTCTTCTTTATGTCTTTTCCGATTATCAGCCTAGAAATAAGATTAAACTCTATTATCTCGAAGCCAACATTTAAATATAAAATTGAAAGACTACTGAATATGAACATTTTACAGATGTAGAAACACTTCTGATTCTTTTCATAAAGGAGTTCTCATTAAGTTTTACGAAAAAAAATCCTAGCCAAAAAACTCCCAAGAAACCAAAAACTCACTTTATCAAATGGGTGTGACTTGCTGGAATTGCTTAATAAGTTGAAAAGTCTGGTTTTGAAAAGACATGGTACATATAGCTGAGAAGTGAGGGTTACAATTAGACAGATGTTATTTTGTTATTCTAGTCTTATGGAAGGATACACACCCTACAAATATTTAGTTTCAGTGGGTGATCCCAAAGCTATCTCAAAGAGGACAGCTTGGTGCTAAAAAGAAGCCATAGTACACAAACAGCAATTGGACATTTATGTAGAGATACATACTTCAATACCTTTTCACATGAGTCATTCGTGGTTACATGGAGTAATTCTTATTTCAGAGAATATGAAAATATAGTAGATAATATAGGCAAAACAAATATACATAATATGCAATACATAAATATAATAATACAGGCTGTCTATAGCTAATCTTTTATAAAATCATGATCATAATTTTACTTTCACATAAATATGGGTCTTAAACATAGTATCTCCAACAACTATTTTACCATCTATGAATTTCTCACAATACAACCTGTTAACATTTTAGTGAGTAAATACAAATTGTATATACTTTTTAAATATTAGACCTATCAGCTATATTAGTTCCATGCCTCAGTACAAAGTCACTAAATTTGAATAAATTAGCACTGAACAATCACCTACTATAATTTTAAATTGCTATAAAAATGATTACAGTGCTGAGCAACCCTAAAGAGCCTTTGCAATTTAGAAAAAGGAAATTTCTTACTTTATTTAGATCTTCATGGAGACCATCCATTAGGAACAGAAGCAGCTCTTGTGAATCTTGTTGGCTGTATCCTGCAAACTGGTCATTGATCTTCCCAATCGTGATTTTAAAGTCTTTTGGACTGATATACCGGTACTGTCCTGTCCACAAGGCTTTCATGATTATGCCAAATTCTTCTGCCACTTCACCTTTATGCCCCAATAAATTTGACCTTGGCAAATAAAATTATAAAAGAGCAATAAGGAAAATTAAAAAAAGTGAAGGTACAGTGGGATGTCAGCATTAAACTATTAACATACTATAACCCTACACTAAAATACTTATTTATAGGTTTATTACCAAATACTCATCTGAATCTTACTTTGATTATACCCCTCCAACTTGCTTCTTTTTGGCTGCCAGCCTGCACTATCTTTTCCTCCTCGTTAATAGGCTTCAGTTTATGACAGTGAGGTTCTTGCCTACTTGCACTGCTCCTTTCCTGTCTGTCCTTTGCCAATCAGAGGAGGCTTTTCTCTATATTTTTCTTAAGAATAAAGGTATTTTCTCCT